AGGAAAGAAGAAAAATAAACAAGTATATCGTGGAAACCGAGACGGTGTGGTTACATTATCGAAAGCGAATAATATCGCTTGAACTCGCTTGCACGGTCATGTCATACCGACAAACGTTTCGCAACGGTTACCATCCGCCTGGTTGGTTAAATTTTCGGCACGAGTTTTCGCGTTCTGCGCATGCGTGATACCGGTCAGCCTTTTACGCTCGAGTTTCGTATCTACGAAACGTTCTTCCAACGATTTCATCCGCGAAGGTTGCCCTCCTTCGTTGTGCATAGTTCTTCTGTCATGGACGTAATTAGAGATACACTTGCCACTACTATGTAACACGATAAACGTTCTCTTACAGAGAAATTAAAATATATCGAAGAAAAATGAAAGATTCTAGATTATAGAACGTCGTTTCGTTTTTGCTGAAAAAAGAGGAATCTAGACAGAGATCGTTTCTCTTCTATGTCCTTCAACTTGCGAGTTAATTGTCAGGTTGAACGCGTCATCCGAAAAGTAATCGGTCCGCTGACCGATTTACTTCCAAATGTCAAGAGGCGTTCCGCGCGCAACGAGAGAAAAAAAGAAAGGATTTCGTAGGAATCGAGGAAGAGAAAGGAACAGCCAGGGGTGAAATTGGGTAGGGGGTAGAGGAGTGGGAGACGCGCAGGGGCAGAGGTACAACCATGGACGTTGCGAAATAGTCGGTCGTGCTCGACTGACTTTCGATGAAATTCAATCGGGGAAAAAGCTGCGCAGATCTCTCGTCTGCATGTACCGACGGAGGAGAAGTTAATTCTCGAAAGCATGGAAACCGGATTTCTTATCTGGCGGTAGTGAATACATCGCGTGAATGAATCGGGTATAAAAATGTACTATAGAAAGTAAAAAGCGATGCAAATAAGAACTCTATACCTAGTCCAATTTGAATTTACATGGACAACTTTAAAACTTGCTTATCGACGTATTTAACGCGTATTTAGATTCGTTCTTTTAGTAATCATAGACCGAATTCATTCTAATTCCTTCTACAAAATTTGATATTAATATTTAAATCGCGTATCGTAAATGTGTTAAGGCAATTTACTTTATCGCACAATATAGCGAAAAACAGGCACTGTTCTGTACTTGTTGTTCCAGTTTCTATACTTTCCTTTAAATGATTCGAATTCTACTAAATCCACTTTAGGCTTACATTTATTTGTATTGGTTAAAGGGGAATGGATTCCTGATCTCGTTTTCGTCATAGGCCTGAATATGGACAAATGTGTCTGCTCTCTGTCGTCGTCATCGCGATGCAAATAGTCCTTATAGCACGAATCCGACAAGATATAGACTCGATAGTTGTCGATGTATGTACGTTGTTCCCGTACCGAAGGAGACTTCTGTTACCATAAACGTCAAAATGTTTCCGCGAACGGATTTGCACGGGCTTCGTGCCGGGCCATTTGCCATTTCCACGTTCGATGCACACCGGATACGATAATGTTCATCGCATCCTCCGCTGCATGTCTGAAACAAAATTTCACCGCAGTAACCTCTATACGGCTCTATTCGCTTTTATACTACAACCCGTTTACACGAATTTTAATCGTACGATTCATCGTTGATACGAAGCAAAGGAATTTTTTTCTTCATCGACTACCGTTTTGCCGATCGTTATTTACGCGTCATCGCGCAACTGACAAAATATTATTGCGAAACATCTCGTTCTGAACGACGTCGAACCACGAAGTGCTGGCGTAGTACTTTGTCAGAACGATACTTTTATACGTTGCAGTATCTCGAAAAAGCTTAGGTATCTTCGAGACGATACTATACGATGCTCGATCGACCCTGGGAACGTGATTGTTAATTGATGAGCGTGTCTGATGACCTCGTGACACATGGGAAATCTTCAAGCGAGACTGCACTTAGTAGCAGATGTATGGAATTTTTTATGGGAGAATGGAATTTTAATTTTGTGGAATTTGATAGTAAACGAAGGAGGGCCTGTTTTGATAATAGTATCGTCATTTGATAAAAGCAATCTTTGAATAATCTAAATTACTGCTTATATTCCAACTATATTTACCACTGCCTTAAGGAAAGTTCCTATAAATATATGGACAAAAAGTGATCTTGTAGTATGTGATTATAATTTGCTAATCGTTACGAATTAATGAACTTGTATTCGTTACGAAGACAAAATATTTATTGATGTTCTATCCATTAACGCTTTCGTTATACAGAAGCTTCTAATTAGATTTACGATGTTGGTGATCATATGCAAAAATAAACACTCTAGTTCTATGAATGCAATTACCATCTATTACCGACAGTGTTCGTTACCTACCGATACTGCAGACACCATTCATGAAACAAAACAACGCATAGCTAATCAATAAACATTTCGTTAGAGACTAAAATTGAAATTATCAAAACTGTTTCCTGTTGAGGTTTAATCTCGGAATAGAGAGAGGAAATGCGTGGATGAATGTACAACAGAAATATATTTAAGTAATTTTAAGTATTAGTACAATGCGTTACTTTACAAAAAAGCTCCGAAGCCATGGGTCTATAGATATTTGTATAATTACGAACAAACTGATCTTTCTGTACCTCGCTGCACCATTTGTTTCTAGAAAAGACTATGAGGCTGAGAGGCCCTTCGAGTTAATTTAGTGCTAAACAATACTCAGTGGTTTCGGGGACTGAGAAAATTGAACACTTGAGAAGATATGAAGTTTTCCTTGAAGTAAGACCCACTTCAACATTTTCAATCCTTACCTCGACTATTATTATCTATATCTATTACTATAATGTATCCTATCGACCAAGTTCAACTTTACGTTCGCAATTTCGAAGATACTGTAGCTCGCAACCTAACCTACTGTAGCTAGCACCTAACCTAACAAATTCTTATGGGCACATTATACGCGTGATACAAAACATCTTGAAACGTTATTAACGCCAGAGTGAAACACGACCAATCATGACTATATCAATTCGAAGACGTACGTAGGGTATAGAGGTCATAACACGTATCTCGGAAATATATTTAGCAAAAAATTACTACGTGATAGTAATATAATAGTGGCCTTAAACGTACAATACTGTTCAAATAACTTGCGAAGTTTATACTGGCAATAAATAATTCGTAACTCCTACATACATTTTCAGATTGGTTTCGAATTTTACCAATACGATTGCCATAGTCTCGTTTCGTTGTGGCGCTAATCGATTTTCAGAATGTTTCGCGTAACGTGCGTGATATATGCGTAAAAAGTTTCTGAAAGTATTCAAACAATTTCGTGAACGACTGCGCTCGGCACCAATTTTTCTTGCTCGTTTCTGCGATCAATCGGGACGGATTGACGGATAACGATCTAAGATAGGCTGTTCGACAATTACGCGTCGTCAGTTGCGACCATCACTCTGATATCGTAATTGATGCATACGGACCGAGCGAGGTTAAATTACACACATCGCTGCGTAATCGTTAGCGTTACACGCTAATTCTCCAAATTCCACGGCCGCTTCGTTTACGTTCGTGTCGTTCCAATTTCGCCACGTTTATCGCTACTCGTAGCTGGCGAATAGACGCGTCCATACGCGCGCTGACTGAATGCAAGGCTGAACGAGCTTGAAATTATCGCAGCACGCCGATACCGCGCACAGAGCGCACCTTTGTTATCTGTCGAAATTATGGTCGCGCGGGAACCGCGTTAAAAGCCGGCCAAACGATGTCCACTGGAGCTTAATCGTGGATGGTTAGGTGTAATTTGACAGGGTGCTTCTAATCAACGTTATTCCATCAATTTACGTAACGAGAGAACGTGTTTCAGTGGAAAATCTGAATGCTGCTTTGTGTAGCGTGTGTTACGTCGAAAAAGATGTTAATCGCATATAATTTATAGCTTATACGTGATTCGCTGTAAATTATGTTTGATCCACATCCTGATTGTATAATTAAAGATATTGAAATAACCGTTTTCGAATAACTTGATGATATTGGAATTACTTTACTACGGAATACAGTAACGCTATGCATAGCGCGTTCCTTCGTAACGCAGTTTCGTATAATGTCACGCTGATAGTCCGTAGTTCGTGTAATGGTCGGTCCTCGCTGGCCTTGCTATTTGCGAACGTGTTCTTGAGCATTTAAGTATACTTTTATGACCACTGCTGACGAACACTGGTAGTTAAGATTCCCGAACCCCAACGAACACAATGGTATCCGTTGAGGTATATTTCTGAGCGCTGTGCGTGCGCCAAGGATAAACGAGGAAAGTAGTCAATGCGAGTGAGCTAGTATTGGCAGTCAGGTCAATTTTTACCTCTAGAATTAACACGAAAGGTAATACAAATATAGTCGTGTTTGGTACACGACTCGTCGCACGCGCCTCAATCATCCCAATAAAATTCTCTCGTAATGACATAATAAAAACATAAAAAGAGTTATATTTCTCTGATTCCGATAATTATTGGGAAACCTGTTCGTCAACAGTCCACGATCTCTAGCGATCGGACCACTGCTGTTTGTATCTAATATAGAAAATGAAAATAAGTTAATCGTTTCGCCTTAATTCACCCTCGTTCTATCGTTACGTGTTTATTACCCAATTTTCGCGCAATATTGAGATACAGGAAAAGATGTATAAAAGGAGACCAAACGAAACACACGATACGAGATTAAAGCGCGTAACGCGAGTAACGACAACAGGACCAACGTATAAAACGTTGCCTCGAGGAACATTAGATCCTACTTATACAGATCTTATTTAAAAGCTTAGACAGACAGATAAACAGATAGATAGGTAAGTGGAGATACATATGCTTGTACATTGTACAGTTTCATGTAACCGGCAGATATAGATAGCTGTCGCTGGTATAGGAACATGAGAATACTATATGGTTGGTCGTGTCACCTACACACCAAGTACTGCACCATAAGCTGTTTCATAAGTTAATACGACCTTATTAGCGGAATAAAGGCACACGAATAACCAGTGGCTTTCTGATTACAGCAACTCTCCTTTCCACCTACCCAATCCAACCATGGATCCACAGGGTTTACGTTTAGCCTGTCTGGCAATCAAGACATCGAGGGTCCTCAGGGTAGTTTCGAGTGCATCCAACAAACGAGCCCTAAGTAAGTAACTATCTATGTAATGTATAGTCAATCGGAAAAATCACCTTGTTATCGTTTCTGAATCTACGTAAATAAAAGTAACGGGGTAGCTAGCCAGATCGAGTGAACTGAACAGATTCAAACTCGATTTTCTCGAAAATGAAGCTTCACGTGAAAAAAGAGATCGCCTTCTTCTCGATTCTATTATTACGGTTACGGTAACTGGCGGTACAGGCGGAAAAAAGAAGTCGAAAATGTAGAATAAAAAATATGGAATAAAAATTTATAGAATAAAAAAAAAACGTCAATCGAGACAACGATCTACAGTGAGATCCGTTATAACGAGACGCGATAAAGTGCACGCGTACCGAGCGAAGATTCAAAGTCGATTTTCTCGAACAAAACCGAGCGAAGATTCAAAGTCGATTTTCTCGAAAACAAAGCCTCGAACGAAAAATTTTTATTCTATATTTTCGACTTCTTTTTTCGCGTAGAATCATCCCCTTTCCGTTCGTACCACCAGTTACCAACCAGCCTGTATAATTCACGCGGATTTCGACTTGATACGTATATGACGTCGGTAAAATGATCGCAGCTGACGCTAATCTGTGGCCTTGTCGGAAAAACGGGACGCAATAATAGTAAACTGTAACAGAATACATAGTTTTTTTTTATTATTATTTAGTTTGTACTTTAGAATTTGTCCAGCTGGACATTCGGTAAATTTTTCTAGCTTAATTGCTAAATAACATGTGGATGGCTACCAACAGCGGGATACCATCTTCGAGTTTGTCTATTTCTTTAGTGAGGTCAGTGACGTGCAGAATACATAGTTGCATACCACAAACTGTTACTGTTTTGTCGTAGAACTTAATGGGCACGTTACTTACACGCGATCATTGTATAAATACGACAGAATTTTTCTTCTATAATATTCCTATAACGTATAATTATCGATATACGATATTTACGTGTGTGATTTTGATAGAGAGATTTTGAAATTGGTTTAAATTTAACGTTACCATAATGCTTGGAATTGAAATGGGTATACATCTGTTTATAATCGCGTTCGATCCGATGTTCCATGAATGAAACATTTTCTCGATAATTGAAAACTGTCCTTCGAACGTATGATTAGCCTTACTTTCGTGAACTTCATGCCACAGATAAAGCGACAGACGAAGATGAAAGAGCGTAAGAATTAATTCGGATTTACTCTCTGCAACGGTGTGATAATATTTCTTATTCCTTCCATCGGTCTTCAACCACCTTTATTCTTACCGTATCTTGTCAGTTAGAAAATTAAATCTCTGTCAGACAATATATCAGCTTCATAGAGCCAACGCTAATCTCTAACAATCCCGAAGGAAGATCTATTTCCTGACGGATAATGTATCAAATCCATGAAGCTAAAATTCATTTTTAATTCCGAAAGATATTACGCATCCTCTAAATTACCAAGAGAAGAAACGATCTTAAATTTTCTATTCGGTGGATAAAGTTGGTCTGTAACTTTGGCAAGAATCATATATAGAGGGAAAACCAATCTTAAATTTCATCGTGTAACCATCTGCTCGTGGGAGGATCAAATCGATTCCCACTGCTCGAATCTAGAAACTGCACGTCTTTCAAACGCGTGGCACATTTTCAAGACACGGGAAACGGCGCGGAAAAAAGAAAAGAGAAAAACGGCGTCGAGACTCGTTCTAGCGACTTATCGGTCTCTTTATGGTGTTCCATTTTTCCTGTGCAGGAATCTGGAGAGTCTTGGCGCATTGCCGTGTAAAATGCGAATACAAGCGAATGACGATGTGTACGAGACAACCAGGCATCGGATGGCCGTTGCCGAAGAGAATAACAAGAACAAATGGTAAGTCACCCCTTGAAAAGATACGGACGTCGAAGGCTCGACTTCATCGATCCTGCATGGAGGTCGATTTTTCTTCCATGAGTTCGTTATCGAGTTCGTGCACGGTTCCATTCCTTTATATGCTTGCTCGTTCTATTTTTCGAGTGGTTTCTGTGTCATATTCGTATGCACTTCACCTTGCTAAGTAAGTCGACCCTCGTTCCAAATCACGTTATTTCTAGATCCATCGTTCATGACAATTCGTACGATTCTCGAATTGAATTCGATATCAGTTTAGTTTATTCGTTATCGTTTACACGATGTTCGTTGATAATTACAGAGAACGAGGAGGGAAGTAGCGAGAATGGTAGAGTTACATAAGCCAATCTTCATTTTACAAGAGACATTATCGTGTAAGATGTAACCAAAGAACGAAAAAGAAAAGATCATTGGGATTGTAAGACAATGGATGGATATCGTGCAGGCAGATTAGTTAATTTGTTTAACAGCGTAACGGTCAAGGTTAAAAAAGCCTCGCAAGTGCGACTTAGGTCCGAAATCTTTGGTATCTGTCGCTGTGGATGAAACTTATTACGTACATGGATATACTGTGTGATACACGGTTTACATAAACGAGTCGTGTAACAAGATATTGCGAATAGTGGATTTCTATTTTAATGATTCTTCTTGTCAGTATATTTAAACGATAGAGGGAAGATTCATTTCGAATACAAAAATGTCCTAATATACAGGGTGGTTGGTACAAGCGGAAAGGGGATGATTCTACGCGAAAAAAGAGGTCGAAAATATAGAATACAAATTTTTCGTTCGAGGCTTTGTTATCGAGAAAATCGACTTTGAATTTTCGCTCGGTACGCGTGCGGTACGTTATAACGGATCTCACTGTAGATCGTTGTCTCGATGGAAAAATTAAAAAAATTTGTATTCTATATTTTCGACTTGTTTTTTAACGTAGAATCACCCCCTTTCCGCTTGTACCACCAGTTACCAACCACTCTGTATATTTAATTTCCCATTCATCAATATGTCGCATCGTTTTTGTATATTCACATATGCAAGAAGTAAAATCCACTTCGCTGCAATTAATTCGATTACTTTTATTAGCTTTAAATTTTGTAGGTATAGAAATAGCCGTTTAAGAGTAACTAAAATAATAAAAATAATAAATAAAATTTGGCTCCGATAGATGAAATTCTGATAAATAAAATCCCATCGTAGGAACGTAGAAAAGGGGAAAAGAAAAAAGAATAATCCGAAGCATTGCATTGTTTGGACCAGTTGCATTCTCTATAGTTGTCTAGTGGTAGCGCCGGTTACATAATTCCGCGTTTAAGAGCAAAGCTGATAATGGGTTTTCCCGATGATGGCTTGCGTCAGAAAGGAAAATCGATTAATCACTTTCCTCGCGGAAAGACGATTCCTGTAGATTAGAGCTGGACATTAGGTGGGAAAGTGGCGTCAACCAGAACCTTGTCTACTGACGTCAAGCGTGGGTTGGTTAGGTGTCGACGTTAAGAGATAGAAATGATCTCGTTAACTGATACGATATACGGTAAAATATTCCAGTCGTTTATACCGATCATATTATACGAAGCAATTTATGCTGATTATATTATGCGAACTACTTGCAATTAGATCTTCCAATACGGTGGATTCTATCCTTTAAAGTAAAAAATATGATAATAAAAATGCAAAACAATCTAAGATACTAAACACTGAAAATGTAAATGTCACAGAGAATAATAGAATCATAGCTGTGCTATACATACGTAGCTTGAATTAACCCTTTGATCCCTATGGACGCATATATGCGTTTGCCAATTTTTTCCACCTCCCTCGCCCTTGAGATTATTTCGTTAGTATAAGAGACGATACGCGTGCATTTCTTAGTAACGACAATGAACAAAAAAAAAAAAAAATGAGAATCTGTTTATTTTCTGTATACTTCTGTATATTCGCGGAGATTATAATTGCGATTAATATGTCTTTACACTCCGTTGTCGCTATCGTGGCGACATTATAAATGAAACTAACAAATCCGTTATCGCCGCCGTGGTGATATTCTAAATGAAATGAACAGCTCCGTTGTCGTTGCCGTGGCGACATTCTAAGTACGATTGTAAGTAGTCTCGGAGTAACTGGCAGCCCATAGTAAAAATGATTCGGAGTTTCTGGTGGGTCATCGGGATACCCGGTGTGCGAAGGGATATTATAGCAGTGCCGTATATAAATCATTAATTTTTATTAAGAAAAAGTATTTGGTCCCCAACGCGGATAACTTTCACCGGGAGTATTCAGTAATTTATTCGAACGTTGAATACTAGCAGTTCTTTTTTGCCAAAATAAGACTCTCGTATAATGAATAATTCTTGTAAATATAGAGATACCGATTTTTTTGTAAATTCTATGAGCTTAGATTTATATCAAACACGTCATACGCACGAAATAAGCTGTTTTATTAAATAGAAGTCTGTTAAATGAAACGTTCTGAAATAGCTACATGCCAACTATAAAACGTTCCTTGAATATTTCATTGATCAATCACTTTCCTCTGTCATAGAAAAATTCTTCACTCTGTATATTAAGATGACGGTACGATATTACTATGGTACCTAATCACTGCTGCAAAAGGTTTTTCAGGACCATCGATATACAGCAGGGACGCGCTATTAACGTCGTAATGATTTCAAACTGGAAATGACAGTGGAAAAACGTGGGCATTTTACGACCATTATTTTTCTTCTCTTTCGTTTAACAACCGTAGACGGTTATGCTTGCATAGTTTCGTATATAGTACTTTCTATTATGAATATTTAATGTACCGGGGAACTAGTTTATTCGCGATGTAGGGGACTATCAATCATTTTATCAACTTGGTAAATCATGCAAATTATGGGAAAGTAAGGTAGAACTATCGGAACGTAAGTTATATCGTGTATCATTTCGAAAATAACGAAAGACCATACTTTCATTTATTCCTTTCGATCTTCTTCGTCTCTTAACAACAATGCTTTGAAACATTGCGAGTTATAATAACAAATTCTAAGATTGTAAATAATCTCGTATACCATATTCTTATATATTATTCTCGTATAAAAAAACATCACTTACTCGCTAATATCGTATAATATAATATTAAAAATAGTAGTAATATTTATCAGCATGCCCCTTATCGTTCTTCGTTTTATTTTCCACCAGCACCAGAGTTATCAAGCCAAATGGGCCGGACATCGGGCGCAAAGTAAAGGTGAAAACTACCGGAAGAACTATACCATCTCCATCACCATTGAATTCGAGGTATCGGGAATCGACGAGCATTCCAACTTCCGTTAGTCAGCCTAGACTGTCTTCCTCTTACAAGGCCACTGTCAATAATCAACCAGCAGCTCGAAATCAACCGGAGAAGAAAGTCTCTGAGATCATGCGTAGGCCACTCAAGTAAGTTTCGATTAGACCGTATAATCGTACCTTGAAGAACGTGTAATCATCGTTTACTTTCATAACGATAAAACAGAGAACGAAACAAGAAAGATTTAAGAAAATTAAAAATATTTGAGGAGCACGCAAGGACATGACGTTATTCCCTTTATTTTGATATCGCTTGGTAGCAAAAACACTTGCAGAGAAAACAATTTGTTTGCTGCAACTGGTACAGGTCTTTTAAAAATACGCGATAAGTCTATGAAATTTTGTAAACAATAACAAGAATGTATATCATGTTGTAGTAACAATATTTTTACTGTTTTATTCGACCGTCGAATTAAATAGTTTTAGTAATAATTCTAAATTCTATCATAAATATTTTGTGCATTTCAAGACTGTTTATTATATTCTGTCCGTGTGTTCTTCATTTAGAAATACGGTCGTAAAAGTTCGATAAAAGAACGAAAACAAAGTAAAGTTTGTAAGATAAGTAGCTTAAGATAAAAGTCTAAATAATCATCTAAGTATCCATTAGTTCTAACGAATATTTTGTTTTCTGTTTACAGGGAAAGGCTTATCCATCTTCTTGCTTTGAGGCCATACAAAAAGCCAGAGTTGTATGATCGTATAAACAGAGGTAAAAATATAAACGAAAAATACAAACTTAAGATTATCCATCAAATTTTTGGCGCAAATTAATTAATCGATATCTTATTTTCAGAGGGCATCAAAGATCGAGAACGTACCGCCATGCCGATGATTCTGAAACAAGTAGCTTTCATGAGGGATAACACGTATCATCTGCATAGATACGTCTGGAATGATGTGCTAGAAGATTGGCCTTATTATACAGAACAGGAAAAGACCATGTTGAAAAGAAGAAAACCTCAAAATCTAACGCCTCCTGGTTCTAGCGATGGATCCAGCGGTACGATACATTTTCACGGATTAAATCTTCATCTCGCCGAATATTCATTGCGACAGAGCAACATGAAAGTCTAATTATATTTCACATTCATTCGGGAACAATTGTCAGTACATAGATACTTTTATTCACTTGTTAAAAGATTTAAAGCTAATGACGATGAAATTGGCAAATCGACAAAAATATTTTTCCAAACGTACTCGAACAATAACATATAATGGTCTTCTTTTATATCAATGAGTAGACTTAGATGAGTATACATTGTTTACATATACATTGTTTACATTATATACATTGTTTACAGTATACATTGTTTGTATACATATAGATGCATAGACATTGTTTACAGTATACATTGTTTGTATACATATAGATGGGTAGACATTGTTTACAGTCTACATTGTTTGTATACATATAGATGCGTAGACATTGTTTACAGTATACATTGTTTGTATACATATCGATGAGTAGACATTGTTTACAGTATACATTGTTTGTATACATATCAATGAGTAGACATTGTTTACAGTATACATTGTTTGTATACATATAGATGAGTAGACATTGTTTACAGTATAGTAGAAATCTTACACACTCTCTGTTTGGTGTTTGATCTCTACTAAGTTATTTATTATAATATGATTTAAACAGAAAACAATGGTTACTTAACATGAACTTAATGCAGTAATATGATTATAACTAATACAACTTAATTTTAATGTTATTGGGAAATTTGAATGTGTAAAGATATACAGGATAAAAAATATAAAAAATATTCAAAGTTAATTTTAATATTTAGAGAATGACGCAAGTCTGTGTTTGGATTTCATTGCATTTCTTGTTTTCATAAAAATTTAAATCTATGTAAATATTATGCAGTGTATTAATCCATTAGCATATTAATCTTTTCACACCGAAAGTTCCTGTGAATCGTATTTTTCCGACCAAAATTGCTATTTATTGCTATAGCGTCATGATTTTGTGTTTTGAGAGACAATCGTATGATGAGTAGCACTTTCACGCCTACGTTTCTCTGAATATCGCAGTCCACTTCCTCAGAATACACCTGCGACAGTTTCTTTTGAAAAACCAAGTCATAGCATCCATCCATCGTCGTAGAAGCTTTAAATCTAAAATGTTACCATAGTATTGACAATAATTTCGAAGAATTGTTCCAACAATCTATTCATACATGCTAACGCGTTAACAATAATCCAGATAAAATACAGAATAACATATTGAATGTACATTATCGATTATGATTACAGGCAGCGGACAATCTCCTAATTCCACTCATCCAGGTTCACCGCCTGCGATCACAGCACCTCCGCCCTCGTTGTTGGGCAACAAGCGACCAGGATATTATCAGGGTAATGATGGATTACCGACAAAAAGACCACGGATATCGCATTATAGGAAGTCAGAATTGAATTCTGGATCGTCGAACGTCGGGGAGAATGGAAGGACGGCTGGTAGTGGTGGAAATAGTAACAGTGTTAGTGTCGTTTCCAGTGCAGCCGGTGGTAGTAGTGCGAATGGTGGCAGTGGTGGTAACAACGGTGGTGTAATTGACGGCTGGGATCAACGGCAGCATCAGCGTGATCGTCGTGGCGATTATCGACCCGAAAGAACAGCGAACAGTGATGTGCTACGAGGTGGCAGCTATGGCCATGGAAAAGCGTGCTTGACGCCAACCAGTGATAGTGAAGAGACCAACCAGCAGCACGGTCATCGGGACGGGAACACCGGAACGTCTGCGAGCAATGTCGCTAACAACGCGACCACTGGCCATAGTAGTGTAGCTCATAATAATTCTTTGAGCAGCAGTCGTCATCATCATGGAAAGACTGCAACGCTTGGTGCCGAAGAGAGTGCCGGTACGGCTGTGGATTGCGTGGCTCGTTCGATGCCGAGTGCCGCGAGTGACGGTGGTAGTGCAGGTAGTTATAGTGGTAGTTCGAATGGAATACTCGCCGACAGGAGAGATAGAAGCGACAGGAACGATAGGGGACGCGTTGGCGACAGGGATCGTGACCCCAGAAAGAAGAATAACGGAACAGCTGCTAACTCGTATAACGAGTTAATCGTACCTAACTATGACACCACCGAACATAATCCTGACAGTCTTCACTTAGAGGAGAGTCCTAAATCATCGGAGTATCCGGACTACCTCACGTGAGTATCTTCGAAATTAATAAAATTTAATAGAATAACCAGTAAGATTCTTCCTACGATTTTGTCTCCGTTATTGTTAATTACCATATGTTGTAGCGCTCATTAATATGGATATCTATTTATTGTAAAAAAAAAAAACAAAATAACACGATCTGCACGCTTTGTGATCTAGAGAAAGACTCGTCATCGTGGCTCCATAGTTGTCTTGATATTAATTATTTATTCTTTCTCTATAATATACAGCCTTACATTCATATGTTACGATAATGGAGATAAAGCAGTGCAGTTTTCTGCAGTTGTGAATCTTAATTTGGATCTTACTAAGCAAAATATACATCGGTGTACTTACGCTCGAATTTCTTACAGGTATTATACGACAATAAGCAGTACGGAACAGAGAAGACGTTATAAGGCAGAATTTAATGCAGATTATGAAGAATATCGAAGGCTACATACTCAAGTGGCGAAAGTATCTAAACGATTTGTACAGCTTCAAGATCGTTTGAAACAAGAAGAAGCTTCAGGCAATTGGGAAGAATATCAGGTACCGTATCGCATGTAAATAATATACAAGACACAATGATACTGTATCGCAAGAAGCATTGTTACAATGGAAGATCTAACAATTATTTATTTATATCTGTTTTATGTTTTACAGGAAATAAGGCAGCAAATTTTCGATGAGTATAACGAAACCAAAAGCAATCCTAAGCATAAGGAAACGAAATGCCGTTTTCATTACTTGCATGAAAAGCTAAGCCACATCAAGCGGCTGGTATTGGAATATGATACGCAGAACTGTGGTGGCATGGTGACTAGCAGCAGCAACGTAGATGGTAGCAACGACATGAAGGAAATGGATAGTTTGCACTACTGACACAAACTGAAAAGGCCGCTTTTTACTCTCTACCTTTTTTCGGTTGTCGGTATGCTATTATCTTCAGTGTCGAAGAATTTGCATTTTCTCGGCATGTTCCAAGGCTGATCTAAAACGGTCCACATGGTTCCTGAGTTGTATCGCCGAAAACAAAGTCAAGTACTCTCTGAACCGGGGTTGCGAGGATATATATATATATATATCTATATATATATATAGATAGATAGGATATATATTATAGATATATATATATATATTATATATATATATGTATATATATATATATTTATATATAAACTCGCACATCACGAAGAACCTTCAATGCTGTTGTTGAAAAAATTTGCGTGTAAGTCGAGGATCTCTCTTCTGTAACTGATTTGTGCGCGCGACTGTGATGATCTCTTCGACTTACGTTGTGTGATCGTGAGCGATCATCGGGATACGCTTGCGTGCTACTTCGACCAATGGTAACCAGATTGATAAAGGATCTTTTTAACGACAATCGGTACAATTTGAAGGGAAAGAAGAAGTATAAGAATAATGAAAATAAAAGAAGAAAAAGCCAGAGTCCATCCGAGGAGGGAGAGAGAGAGAGAGAGAAAGAGAGAGAGAGAACAATGAGGAAAAAGGGCATTCGCGGAGAACTAGATATTATGCGTGAACTGAAAGAGCACAGAAACGTTTTTTCTTGAGAAGAAAGAACTCTGTCCTCCAATGGAAGATAGGAAGAAGAAGAATAGGGAAAAAGCGAAGAAAGAAGATAATTGAGAAAAAAGTAATTAACTCTATATAATAAGTTACTTACCGTGCGCATGTCCAGGTGCGCACTTCCAGGTGTGTCGTCCAATTTAACATTAGATTAAAAACAAAAAGAAAAGATCGACAATGCGAATGCGAGAACAGGGTCCAAAAGGTAGTAAATGGCTTATCACGTGCCACGTCCTGAGGACACTGCGTTTCTTTTTCCGTCGGAAGGGAAAAGGAAAGGAGGCTAGCACAGAGACTGTCCACGAGCTGCCGCGAATCGTATATATGATCTGCTGCTCGCCATTTTCTTTCTTTCTTTCTTTTTTGTTCTCTTTGTTCCTCCATTTCTGATTATCTTTTTTTTTTTGTGTCTTTCTTTTCATCTTATTTCTTTGTTCTCATTTGTCTTGTTAGAGAAAGAACAAAGGGAATCCTTAACTTTTTCCGCTAAGAGAGAGAGACTATGTTATATGCATCGTAAGGTTAGGACGATTCTTTGTTACCTCCTCGTTCTCTTTTTTGTTCCTTCACCATACGGCCCATTTCTTATATCAGGGTCTCGGTCGGTGTAACTTGACTTAATAGGCAAAAGAATGACATAACTTGGGAATCTATCTTATAACAATTAAAACGAAAAAAAAAAAAAATGAACGTACTAAAACAAAAGAGAGGAAGGATGAGAATACGTTAAGCACTCTTCTTAGAATTATCTGCCATAAAGTGATATAAGAAAATAAATAAACCAATCACGTGCGGTTAGCTATGGCCGCACTTTGCGCTTCAGATATCCACAAAACAAGCAGGACTAAAGTTTAGGGAAATGAGAATGATACGAAGTATAAAACTGGCTTCGTTCCTTCCAAATCACGCGATCGCTCGTAGTGATTCCAGTTGTGTGTATCGTTATGCTAGGATACATCCGTTTTATACGATTTCATAACTGTTGTTAGTCATTGAAAGGCAGATGGTGCGGAGCCATCACCGATATGAAATAAAAAATATTTAACAAACGGCAAATTAAAAATCCCCCCCACCCCAAAAAGAGTAAAAGTAAATTATAAATGAAATAAGAAGAAAAACGGTAAGATCGAAATATTAAAAACGAACAAGTATCATATAGTAATAATTAATCGTCGTCAGCGATAAATATAATATACAGTGCGTTGTACAGTATACGCCAATTTATTATACGTACGAATGAATACCTTCTTCGTATAATTATTATTATTATTATTATTATTATTATTATGACAGATACTATTAATATAATTATTGATGCTATTACTACTATTATTGTTCGGATAGTTAGAAAGATAGATACAATTCGAAACCTTCGTTGGAGAACCTGCAGTTACTGAACGAAGGTATCAAAGAAAGATATTACATATATCAAGCCAATTTCAATTTTCCATTGAATATGTAACGAAAGTTTATGATGTTAATGTTTCTAATATCCTTTTGTCTGTTTACTATGATATCATTTTAAACGCATAAATACGATGAAAGAATCTTGCATAGTAATTTTAAACGTATCCCCTTTCATTCTCATTCTTTTGTCTCTTTTTTTTTTTTTTTTCTTTAAGACGATTTGTATATAAGGCGTGTGTCTTTCTACTTCACACTTGCTTTGTTTCACATTAAGTAAACATTTGCAGTTATTTGTAAGTGTTTTGTGATAGGAGGTGAAGAAAGTGAAAGACGGTGATAAAGAGGAAGGGAACTTGGCTCGTACTAATTCGGTATATTGCGCATATATCGTCGTTTGTATGAATGAAATATAATACCTAAAAAGTTTTTAAATATTAGTGTACATAACTTTACACTCTTACAAGATACGTATTTCGACTTTTCTCTTTCACATAGTTAATTATTCTAAAGTATAAAAAAAGATGTTAATTTGTAAACATTTTACGTTACAAGTTTTAATGTTTAAATCATTTTATAGCAGCTTTTTCTGATATATTGCATATCTATATAAAATCAATTAAAAAAATTTACTCGTTTAATATGTTGTTTCGTTAATTCTTTTAAATGTAATACAAGTCGTTTCTTTTTTGCATTGTACATATTTATTTAGCTTCGTAGAAATTTAATTTGAAATTTATTAATATCCAATTGATCGAAAGTCATTTAGTTAATAAGATTCCTTTTTTCTGAAAATGAAAATATTAATAATGAAAAGTAAAATTAAGTTTCTGTTGAACGAAAAGGAAAGTCTGTATTTTAGTTTTATTGAAATATTATCGTGCATCGTATCTTGCGCGTCTAGTTCTCTTTTTTTTTTTTTTTTAACCAATTAAATATGCTATTGATTTATTCGTTGACGAACACCGCTCGGTGTTTTTGATCGCCAATAATTTTAAAGAAAATGCAAATAAATTGCATATAAACGATTAGAATTCTATGTGTTAAAGGTCTTTGTGCCTTAGTAACTTAATTTAGTTGTTGTATTTTCAAAAAGACATACTTTTATCGTAGTCTTTTAGTACATTGTAGAATAATTAATTATGTTTGAACTTGTATGAACGAGTCGCAAGATTTCATTGTATTAGCTTAAATTTATTAGTAATGTAAAATATTGTTTCTATCGACTAAAAATATTTTCAAGCAAGGAGAAAAAAAAAAGTTTTGACTTTTTTGTTTCCCATTTTATAGAGATTCTTTGTTTGCTGCTCTTAAAACTCTCTGTGCAATGTGTTTCGCTCCTTTTACGTACTATATTTAGGTTGAGTGGCAGAATTAATGACAGGAAAGTACTAAATATAAAGTAAAGTAAAGTTACTAAATATATTATAACCCAAATCTCTAGAAACCTTGATTTAAAAAATGCGTTTGATGCGGTCGAGGAGAAAAAGGAAAACGAGAATAATGAATGATAATTTTGAAATGTTAGATGATGTCTCGTTATGAGAAAAGAGAGATAACTGAGCGCTGCTAGAATATGAATGGCACAGTGTTGACAAGTATTTTCTACTGATTGCAACGAATTTATAAAATGCAAAACAACACGGAAAGAGCCTGTTTAGAATAAAATAATTTAACCTATTTTTATATATAAAAATATACATATAAGTAAATAAACGAATAAGCAAATAAATTAAATAAATAAATAAAAAATAAATAAATTAATTAATTAATATTATACATATATACGATTACAGAATCTATCGTGTGTGTGTTCATGGAGATAATTCGAGGATTGTAAGGACATTAATATCGAAGTATATATGGATGTAACTAAAAGGTACGGGAACTCGTTAATATATGTCGTTGTGATTCGATTTGAACTACGATCGGTTCATTTGTAGATATAAATGATAGGGAATCTTATTTTTGCTCATTTTTTCCCTTTGCATTTACAAAAAGAAAAAAATGTAATAAAAATTATAAAATAATTAATTTATGCGTTTCTTTTCACTCTCATTTCATTTACACTTCACTGCTTTTTATAGCGTAGCCGACGAATAACGGAGAAACAGAGAACAAAATTATAAAATTCAACAGGTATTTGCATAACGCGCAAAAGAAAAGAGAAAGAAAAAAAAAAGAAGAAAAGAGAGAAAAGAAGCTCCCGGCGTGTTTTTTTCAACACTGTCATACTGTGCCATACATAACTTGGGAACTTCGGTGTACGATGGTTCAGTAAAAAGTTTGTATCTAGATTATGAATATTCCGACTTTCCTTTTTGTATTATATTCGCGCATTGATTATTAAACAAAAGAAACTATACGTAAGGATATTTTCAGACCATTCCTTTATTATAAATAATAAATTTTGGAATGCTGTTGTTAAATTTAAAATAATGCTGTAATGGACGAATAATCCAAGAAATGAAAGATTCGAATTATTAATTACTTATAAATAAGTATCGTATTATTTAAGATTTTCCAATGATTTTTTCGTTTAATTTCGATTAACCTTATGTATGTACAATTTTTCGCAAAATCCCACGTTCTTTTAATCTAACGCATGTACAAATAGTATCGATCAAGAGTGTAAAATATCCACCGATCATTCAGACATTGCAACGATGATAGTACACGTGAGAGCAGTCCATTATCTAATGGACGAATCGATAGAGGCAGAAAATAGAATGCACTAAAGAGACTGAACTAGAAGAAACTCGGCGCGTAAAGGAAATACCTAAAAATTCAAGTGCAACTTAAGTAAACCCTGCAATAAACGCGTTTCTAATTTGCGCCGCGTTTCTAACAAGCGAGTCGGTATACGTATATTCGACGGACTGAAATACTTAATGAGAGATGGGTGAAACGTGAACAGAGTATCTGTCAGAGAAGAATGGAACCATAATACCGAACTTGTCCCATGATCAGCATTTTCAGGATCGTGTAAACGTTTGAACGAACGACAAAACTGTCGGAACAAGTAGTATTTGTACAGAAAGTAACGTCTTTGCGAATGTAAGTGCTCTTAACAATGCATTTGATAACTCGTAACGATTAGTTCC